GCCGCTGCATCGGCCCCTCCTCACCCTCATCCTGCGAGGATGCTCGACGGCCCCTGTGGCTCGGCGAGGGGGTGAAGGTGGGGAGAGCCTGGCCAGGTCCCATCCCCCCGCTCCTGGCTCCTCACCTTCTCCACGATGAGGTCGTAGAGGAGCGTCACGACGCGGACGTGGAGGGTCTCCATCCCCTTCTGCCTGAAGAGGCTCCTGAGGACCTGGAGGCCGCCCAGCTTGAGGAACTGCTGCTGGGCATAGGGGAAGTGTCTCAGCATGGAGGACAGTGCGAAGAGAGCCTGGTGGGGAGAGAGGACCATCAGCATGGGGGCCACAGCACCCACCTCTCTTCGTGGCATCCCATGGGGACAAGAGAAATGCTCCAACCCCTTTATGTGGAGCTCCCCAGCACCTGCATTCAAGCCTCTCCTCACTAAGGGGGGGTCTCTGAGAGCCCCCTTCTCTCCTGATCCCAACCCACCCTGGCACCGTGAGGCTGCCTGAACTTGGGTGACTTCCACCCAAACTCCAACCCAGACTGTCACCACCTTCACTAGAGCAGTGACCCAGCGGGACCTGTGGCCAGCACCTGAAGGGACCCAGCGCCGTCATTTCTCCCCACAGTTCACACACCCACCAGTCTACAGAGCCCAGCTACAGGCTAAAGAGGGGGCAAAGCGGGGTCCAGCACCGCTCAGCAGAGCCCAATCCCCTCGAGATGATCTGGACACCTGGGGAACATCCTCTCACAAGCCTGGAGGACAAGACCGTGCTGTTTCACAGAATCACAGAATAGTAGGGGTTGGCAGGGACCTCTGGGGTCACCCAGCCCAACCCCCTGCCCAAGCAGGGTCACCCAGAGCAGGCTGCACAGGACCTTGTCCAGGCGGGTCTGGAATATCTCCAGAGAAGGAGACTCCACAACCTCCCTGGGCAGCCTGGGCCAGGGCTCTGTCACCCTCAGAGGGAAGAAGTTCTTCCTCGTGTTCAGACGGAACTTCCTGTGCCTCAGTTTGTGCCCATTGCCCCTTGTCCTGTCGCTGGGCACCACTGGAAAGAGTTTGGCCCCATCCTCCTGACACCCACCCTTCAGATATTTGTAAGCATTTATTAGGTCCCCTTGCAGCCTTCTCTTCTTCAGGCTGAACAAGCCCAGCTCCCTCAGCCTCTCCTCGTAGGGGAGATGTTCCAGTCCCCTCATCATCCTCGT